CTGTGGTGTTAAAATACTGTTTATAATTTTTTTATATATATATATATATAATTTATCATCACAGAAGTAAATTAACTAATGACAGTTTTCTTTTTGTCCTTTTGCTTTTGCGCCTTGTTTGCTGCTCCCTCTCTGTCACCAGCCATCTTTGCTTGGCACTGACTCCCACCACCCCTCGCCATCCTCGCAGCCTGGCCCCCCTGTATCTTCAGCAAAGCTTCGCAGGAGATGCAAGGAGAGCGCTCGAACCAAGCCTTTAGGCTGTGAGGTGCCCAGAGAGAGCGCTCCAAAGCACGGCGAGCTGGAGCCGGACTCTGACAGAAAGGGGCGAGTTTGCTCCGCTGAGCAAGACGTGGCTTTCGGCTATAAGCAAAAAGCCGGCAAAGGCGGAACGCTGTTTTCCTTCTCCTTGCAACTTCCAGAGTCATTTCCTTCCCTCCTGGATGACGACGGCTACCTGTCGCTCCCTAACCTCTCCGAAACCAACCTCCTGCCTGCCAGCGTGCAGCACTACCTTCCCATCTGCTCCCCCTCCCTGGTGCCTTGCTTCCTCTTCATTTTTTTCTTTCTGCTCTCTGCCTCTTTCTCAGTGCCATACGCCCTCACTCTCTCCTTTCCTCTGGCTATGTGCCTCTGCTACCTGGAGCCCAAGGCGGCCTCCTTGAGTGCCTCACTTGCCAATGACCTGAGTGACAGTTCAGAGGAAGAGGTGTGTACCTCGGCATCGAACACACTCTTTTTCGTGTTCAGTGCTTCAGTCCTAACCAGTGTTAGATTGCTGCAATAGTGGTCCTACTTTCAGAGCCTCATTTCTGTCTGTGCTGATATGTTAGAAGGGGTCGTTTGGGGGGGGGGTTTTGTTTTGTTTAGAGGTTGTTGGGTTTTTTTCTTCTTTTTTTTTTTTTCCTCGTGTTGGGAGTGCAGCTTGGGGCCCAGGGTTAGGCACAACACTGTGTGGAAGTGGCTTGGTTTGAACTGTGTAGGCTGATGCAAAGTGACTTGTGCTAAACAAGTTGTCACTGATCAGCCCTGAAGTATTGTATGTAAACACACCAAGACCCTTTTCTTCCCCCTATCAGTTTATATTAGGATTAGAATAGTTACGTAAATAATGGTAATTAAGTACAATTTCCTGCATAATTATATATATGCACGCATATATATGTATATTCATTATATTTATATAAATAGCTAGCCAGTAATAATGGGCACCCTCACAAACTTCAGGGTCTTCAAAATTCAGGTAAACTCAGCTTTTTGCAAGAGGCTATCAGCTGTAGCCCAAGCCTAGAAGAGCCTTTCTGGTCCAGCGAAACCTGGATCTGGGTTTTCGGCCTTAATCCCATCTCTGCTGCAGACTAAATTGTTTTCCCATGCTTAAATCCAACGTATCAGTGAGAGGTCAGATTGGGATAGCTGTTCTCTATCATGTGGGGGAACATGCCCATGTGGGCCGCCTTGCCATTTGCAGTGTTATATTAGCACTGCCAAAACCGATGCCTGAAGCCACCACAGGTGGTTATCGCAGGGTTTTCACAGGGAGATGAACCAGCTGCAGGAGAAGAGGAGTCTGCGGTGGTTCTGGGAACTGTGGAGATGATAATACACCCAGAAGAAGGAAAGGAATCTGCTTGCTGAAGCAGCAGAGTAACTGGCATCTCAGTTCTTGCTGGTGCCTGGTTATTCTTTGTTGACAGAATAAAGTCATGAGATAATTTTTTCCTCATTTTTCTTCTTCCCCCCTCATCTTCAAATGCCAAAATAACGCGTTTGCTTTGTATGTAAAAAAAACCCAGATCAGATAATCGCAGACCAGTTGGCCATTTGCAGAAAGCCATTTTGGCCACTTGTTGATGCCGTCGCAGTAGTTGTCTTCAATAAACCAGCTTGCACATCTAAAGATTTGTGTGATCTGCTGCTCCTGGTTTTGCAAGACTTGGTGCAGGATTTCACTTCCTTTTTATGGAAAGCCAAAAGTCGCATCAATTTATCTTGTAAAAACATTGTCTTTAGATGCTTTTGGCTCTGTCATGCCTAACAACTAAATAATGATGTGCAATTTCTGACAAAAGGCATCCAAAATGTTGCTGTCTCATTTCGTGTGCTCATTTTGAGATAGCACTTAGGTCTCAATTTGCATTAGCTCTGCACTTGGATTAATCTAATAGCAATAACAGCATTAATACCGTGCCAGCTCCAGAGGCAGTAACGAGGCAGTGTTTATGTAATACATTGGTCTGTTCCTCTTCGAGAAATGAGCACTTCTTTTCGTTAGTAAAGTTAGGAAGTATTGAGCGTAAAAACGTATAAAATAGGCTTTGTAGTGTCGCTCTTGTACGAGGGTGATTACCCTGGCAGTGCTTCCTGGCAGACAACACAGACTTGTGCCTAATCCAGGGGGTATTTCTTGTCCAAAATATTGCATGAAAGTGAGTATGTTTTAAACTCGGGCATGTCTGCATTACATTGGCAAAACAAATCACAGCAATTACGGTCGCAAGTCAGCGGAGGTGCAGCCGCAGCACCTCGGGAGATAGCTGCCTTCCGTTCCTGCTCCATCCCTCGCCCGCCCGCGAGCCCCACCAGCAGCTGCCTGTCATTCAGTGCACCACAGCCCGTCTCGGAGTTGAGCCCGACCTTTCTCAATCTCCACTCCAGAGGAAACCTGCCTTGCTGAGCCATAATTCGCCGTTCCCTGCTCTGCAATAACCCCAGATCTTTATTTCAAGTAACTCAGTAATGCTGACTTCGGCTCCATGGCTGTTGATTGGCTTATTAGCAGGCGTGTATGTTGCAATAAAGCGAATTTTATGCCCTATTTATGGTGGAAGAAATGGAAACCTGATTCTACCCCCAGTCACAAAAGATTGCACACAGCGATGCAGAAGGCTGCAGCCAGTATCCTGAAGCAATCTCATACCTTGCTGAGCGCCGTTCTCCCTTGAGCAGTGTGTCTGGAGGCAGTCCGTGCAGTCAGAGGCAGAATTTCTCCCCTTAGATTTCATTAGCTTCTGTGTTCATACCTTAGCAGCTAATACTTCTATCGATTTTTTCGCTAATGTTCCCAACTTCAAGTTCTTAAACGAACCCTATGTGCCAGACTCACGTTACAGTGCCTTGACGCAAAGCTTCTAACTCCTTATAAATGCCTAGATTCATTAATTCCTCTTTTTATTTTTGTAAATAGGAGTGACAAGACATAGATTTTTTTTTTTTATATTGCCATACCTTCTCAATTACCTCTAATGTTGTAAAGATGTGAGAATCTTCCTTAATAAAGAAACAGTTTTCTAACACTTCAGTGAAAGCAATTTGACCTGCTAGGTAGAATATTTTGGCATTAGTTTCATTTAAAAACAAAAGATGTCTTAGTGTGTGATTATTGCTTGAAAAATTGCCTATAACTTGCATTCATGCACTTACCAAATAGTTCAGAATACCCCCTTATTCTTCTGCCTGTCATACAAGCCGTACAAATTATTCAAAGGAAGGAATGATAGAGAACAAAGCAGTGAAAAGCATCCAAAAAAGCAGTTTTATGAAACATTGCAGTTGTCAGAAAGTAACAGAAGATAGGGAATTCAAAGTTAAGAGTGATACTTCATCCACCTGTAGGTTGCTTTTTTCTCTTGTTTCATCCTGATGTGATTTGTGGATGAGATGTATTGTTCTAGCTTTAAATTACCTGCCTGGGTTACTTTAGATTATCTAAGGACCACAGAATATCTCTAATGAAGACCAGAGCTTTCACTGATGTGACAAAACAACTTGGATGTGCCAGTCTGGGGCAGCAGGGAGCACTTTACTTAATAGTTTTTCATAAGCTTGCAAAACATCAAAAACAGTCATTTGAACTCTCTTCTCAGCCTGTAGTGAGCTACACTCGACTCTCCCATTTATTAAATCTCGACACTTGCATTATCCACTAAAATGTTCTTCACGGTGTCGAGCAAAGCAGGGATAGATCAGTCTGTGCAATGCTGTGCTTTGTTTCATTTTTATCACTTGTACCTATAGTAAGTGTTTGGGGCGGGGAGGGAATTACTTTTATTTTTCTCCTGCTTTCATCCATATTCTTAAATGGAATGAGAAGTATTTTTGATTCTTTTAATGGCAGTTTTCTTTCTTTTTACTATTGTTAACAATATCAGCTGCTCTTTATTGGAACCAACTGGGATCTGAGCCTTACCATTACTCCACAGACAGACAGTAGATGGGCTGGGGGTATGGTTATTTGAGCTCCTTGGTAATGCAGACAGCCTCATGGTGTATAGATGTGGAGACAAGAACAACTTCTGTACAAATGAGGGGCTGAAAGTCAGGTGACTGTTAAAGTAGCCTTTTTTTTTTTTTTAATTATCTTTTCGCCCTCCAGATAAAAGGTCAAGTGCCACATTAACCTATATTGGCTAGAACAAAAATTTGATGAATAATTTTCTTTTAAAAAAATATTATGGGAGGAAAAGTTTGTTTAGAAAATATTAGCCTTTTTTTTCCCCAATTTTTTTAAAGCCACCTGGCTTTCTTAAAAAAAAAAAAATTGCTATTCAAATAACACTTTTCCATTAATGTTTCGTTTGGCTTATAAATTTGTTCCAGTAAAGCCATATACTGTGTACAGTACGCCTCGAGTCTTCCTCTGAGTCTGTTCTGTTTACTAATATAGCACTTTTTTTTTGCTTCTTTGACTTGTGCGTGGTTTGAAAAGCAATGCTAATGCAGCTCGCAGGGATGTTGAGTTTTAACAGTTCGCCGTGTGAGCCGCGTGTACTGATGCGCTGGGTTTATTCTTTATTCCTGCCTTCCTCTTGGGACCCGGTTACTTGTCTCACCAAATAGACTGACAGTGAGCAGACGGATACCGCAGCCGATGGTGAGACCACTGCCACCGAGGTTTGTACGGTAGCCGGCACCCCGTTATGGCAGGGGAGAGCGCGTTGCCTCATCTCTTCCCGACCCCGAGTGCCAAACCGCATGTCTCCCACGGCAGCTCGGGACCCCTCTCTGCGGGCGCGGGCGGGCGAGCGCGAGAGCTTTGCTGGTCCTGTTGAGTTTTCGGTGCTCCCGAGGGGTTCCTCTGAATTCGGTCTTTGCGTTGGAAACCACGAGGCCTCCGGGCGGTGCAGATCGCGGGGTGGTGGTGGAGTCGCTCGCGCCAGTGGATGGTCGTGCTGGCCAGATTGTGCCCTGGGTGGTTCAGTTTGCTTGTTTGCTCTTATAATCTGCAGCCTGTGTGAGAGAGAGGAGGGGGGAAAAGACAGTAAAAGGCAGTTTTCAAATTTTCCAAAAAAAAGTATTCCCAGATTATAAATATCTAAGGTTTTCCTTGAACGTAATTTCATGTGTCATCTTCACATATTGCCACCGGTAGTCCAGGTATTGTCTTCAGAGGAGGAACGTAAAAAAATTGCCATTTCCTTTGCACTGAGAAGCCTCGTATCCACAGCATGGTATATAGAGTGTGCAGGCAAATTCAACCCTATGTGACTCCAGTGAAGTGCATGTAATGCTTTCATAATTAATATGGTTGCAGCTGCAAACATGAGCTGAATTTGGTCTGACATCTGGTAGAAGACAGAGTCTTACCACAAACACTGCTGTAGGTTTTCAGTAGGATCTCATTAACATTTCAGACTATTAAAATTACCGAGGGAAAATTCTCTGTATGACGTGTCAGGGCAATTTGGCCTCGGCTGTACATAGAATAAATTTGAACTGAGTTATGAAGTAATCAACAGATAAAGATTTTCCCATGGGTCATTTGACTAATTAGGGCTATATGAAAAATTAACATTAAAATAGTGGCATGAGCATTAAAAGAATCCAAACGGAGCAACAACATAAAGTCTGTTGAGGCAAGTCAGGAGTACAAAATGCTTTGAAGTGCCCCACACACTGTATGGCTTCAGGCCTTGAGCCACACAGAAAGTACAACATAATCCTAAAATGGTGACATCTAAAATGTTCAGTTTATTAATCAAAACTGCATGATAATCTGCCTAGCTGCCATCTTTATTTTAGGGGAGGAGATTGCATGAGCCTCAATTTTCCTTTTTCAATTTTACCCGATTTTCAAAAAGTGTGGTATACTTGCCATGTGATAATTCAACCCTCGGAAACGGGACTGCTGGGGCAGCCCATACTGCGTCGCTTCTGAAAATGTGAGCTGAAGCGACTGTGATGTCTGTGCCATTCCAGAAGACCACCACTGCGGATAGATCCTGAAAGAGTAGATACAGGCTAAATATGGAATTAAATTATATGAACAAAGAAAGGGACTGGGGCTAGGGAAGATAGCATTTTAAGCAAAGAAGAGGTGCTGCATTCTGTAGAAAATTCTGCGGGTTGTTTACCTGTGGTGAGTTCATGCAAAGCTTTGCCTGTGGCCCAGGAGATGTCCTATGTTTAAACTCTGGGATTATGGACTTCCAAAGAATTTGCTGTTGCTGTTTGGTCCTAAACCAGCCGCAATCTCGGTGAGAAGGTCCAGCTGCTGCTCCTTAAATAGAGACCTATGAATGCGGAGCGCCCCAATCGTATTTGTAAGAGGAAAGTGTTTAATATTCCTTCGTTCACAATTAACAAGTTTTAAAAGAGGAGGCTTGCTCTGAGTTAGGAGAACATGCGAAGTCTTACCGGTGTGTCTGTTCCTTCTCCTGAAGCCCTTAGCGTAGAGAAAATGTGACCTTAACCTAGCGCGTTCCTCTCACCAGTTTTTGTAAAGCCTTCGGCCATACGAGTGGTAAGGTGTTGTTTTCCAATCTTTCTCACGCTGGCAGTCGGATCAAGAGGAGGACGGAGATCTAAAGGCACAGGTACAGAAACGAAAGGCCCAAATGTTGCTCAAGTATCAATGTTGGAGGTGTTCACCTCTCTCGGCATGTTACTGTCAGTTCTCTGTGAAGAAATGTGTAGAAACAGCATTTTGTATCCTTTCAATACTGTGTCCCTTACCTTTCCCTTTCTTTTTCACTTCTTTCAGAATAGTCTGATTAAGCGAATACAGGGTGAAAATGTGTATGTCAAACATAGTAATCTTATGTTAGAGGTTGGTATTGGTATATACCAGTGCATGTACGTACATGTGTGTTAGTTTTAGTGGTAAACTGTGAATCTGCACTATGATGCATGACCTGTGTATTCCCACCTGCTAATAAATCAAATAGATATTTTTTTTTCTCAGATTATGATGACTCCTCTAACTTGTACTGTAAATAGATATATATGCGTGCGCGTATGTGTGTGTGCATCCACGCGCATATGTATGTTTGTTTGAAGCCTCTTTATCAGGTGTAAATTGTAGCGATACAGATAAGCCCTTTAAGAGTATTTTTATACTCACTTGTACGAGATATGCTATGCTGTTATCTTTCAAAATGCCACATTTTCACAGAGTGTTGTGTCAGTGCTGTGCTCCCCGGCTCCCTGAGATGTTACTTCCCTCTTTACTAACCAAGTTGCGTGTTTTGGCTCTAAAATTTGCTTGGCTTAGGATGTATTACAAACTGCTCTATTCTTTTAAAACTGTCCAGGACCTAGACAAAACCCAGGAAGATCTGATGAAACATCAGACCAATATAAGCGAGCTGAAACGCACCTTCTTGGAAACCTCCACAGAAACGGCTGTGTCTAATGAGTGGGAGAAGAGGCTTTCCACATCTCCCGTTCGGCTTGCAGCAAGGCAGGAGGAAGCTCCTATGATTGAACCACTAGTGCCTGAAGAGGTCAGCGTGAGCTGAAAGGCTTCATTACGTATTTGTCTATTCGTTTTTCCTGATATTAGCTCTCACTAGATTTAGAGGCCGTAGTTAGAGGCCGTTCCCTACTTGCAGGTTCTCCCTTTTTCTCAGGACTCGGGCTGTAGCAGCAAACACAGAAGGAAGAGCAGATACCTTATATACATATATAGTTAGAGTATGAAATTGACTGTAAGCCACGTGGCAGAACTGGGTCTCTCTAGGAGTGCAAAACGCAGGCTTCCTCACAGGTTCGGTGAGCTTGAGGAAGTCCAGCCATGCATGAAAGAAACCATGAAGGTGATGGAGAGAAAATTTAAATAGTGGTGACTGGTTGAGAGCAGCAGTCTAGCGGGATGGATGGGGGTACCAAGCTTGACAAGAAAATACAGAGCAAAGGGCAGAACTCTCTCAGTCTTTGAAGGCGGGGAAGAAATAATGATGGTAACTAGACTTGCTTGGCCAGTTCCATAAGGGACTGGTAGTTGCTGCAGTCTGCTGGATACCGTTTGGTTGAAGACCCAATGCAGATTGCTAAGCGTGTGCATTTTCATGCAGCGTGCACGGGTGAAAAAATCTTGCTGACTGTGCAGTCTTGAACTGTTTGCGAGATGTTTGCCAATTAAAAAGCTGCCTTATGTTTAGTTGGTGGGTAGATAATGAGATATAGAGGTAACAGTGTAACATTCATGTTGCCATAAAAGACAAAGATATTCAAAAAAAGTAAGGAGTTTTGGTTTAAATCCAGTGGAGCAAAAAGAAATATGCTTGTGTGGTCTGCACAAAGTTTGGAGGTTTTTTTATTCTATTGTGGATGGATATCTGGTTTCTGTCTCACAAGGAATCATCTTTATTGTTAGCACTTGTTCTTAGCATCACAGACCAATAAATGGTCATAAAATGTTTCCGTCACCTCAGCACTGATGCAGTGTTTCAAGGAATTCTGCAAAAAATGGCTGGAAAGTACAGTTCAAAAGTCTTCTGCTTTCCCACCTTAGAGGTTGGCATTGCAGACCCACAGCTCTCTGGGGAAGGGAATCCCTGGAGGCACCCAGCTAGCACATGTCAACTTCTCCTCTTAGGGAAAGGGATGTTTCCAAGAAAAAGGCCTCAGCTCCTCTTCTCCCACGTTATACCCCTCTAACCAGTAGCTGATCCAGACATCAGGTGGCCATCGGGTTGCATTGAAATACCTAAAAAGCAGAGTGGATGCCCAAAGCTTACCTTTTGGAGAGAGCGCTAAGGAGTCTTAATATTGCTCCTGCTGCTTTGTACAGGAGTCATAATAGATCCTACGACCATGTTAGTTTGATTGTAGTTGAAAATACAGGTTTTCTTTCTTAAAAGTAAAAACTTAAGTATAATGAACAGGATGCATTTAACATACGAAAGATGTAAGGAGCTGTTGAAAGGGAGCGGCTGGCTAGCTGCGCCTGTATTGGAGAGTGCAGATAGAGCAAACTTATAACCTCCCAGTTCATTTCATGTCTTTATTACTTTAGAAATTTAATAACAATTTTTAATTAAAACACAAGAGCAGTAGCAAAGCATTGCACAGTTTGTAGGCTTTACCCTGAGGAAACACATCAGAATTTAACCATTCCTTTGGAAAGGAAAAGGGCAAGAGTTATCCTTATCTGGTACCTCTTCTCTTACTGGAAGAAAAGGACTTGCTCAAAAGCAATGTCCAGTTACTATATCTTATATGAATCTAAGTAGACTACGGCTGTCCCACAGAATCACATCCAAATTAAGGCATTTCTGTGGAAAAATGTGAGTGGATTTGATCTATCAGAGCCTAACTCTGAGGTGACTTCTGTCACTAAGGGGCCCCTGCTGTAGGTAACATCTGACCATCCTTTTTGGTTCTGCTAAGCAGTATGGTTTCAGTTCACATGTCCTGTTGAGAGAGGAATTTTTCAGGAAAAAAATGAAGCCGTGCATAGCTCAGATGTCTACTAAGAAATGCAGAGGCAGTCAGGATAGAGAGCGTGTAGAACTGTGTTATGTAGTATCTTCTTCTAGTCAAAGTTGTTACACGTTTGACTTAGCATATCCACTTCAAAAATGTTTCAGTGCTGTTACCTGTAGTTCATAATATAATATAATATAATATAATATATAATAAACAAGAATAGAAGGGAAAATATGCCTTTTCAAAATGTGTGCTTTGAGCTTTTGGCACCTGTGGGTGTTTGGTCAGTTTGAGTTCAAGCCTGTCTAGTCACCAGTTGGTTTCTTACAATAATAGGGGAAATACTTTGTTTTTCTTCAGTTACAAAAAACACAGTTTTAAATACCCATCATAATGGTGGCCAGATAGCTGCAAAACATGAAAGCCATCATATTAACAAACTCCTTGATGATGTTTAGTCTGACCTGGATTGGATTAAACCAGCACTTTAGAGATAGAGAAGTTATGCATCTCATTACAGTCAGGGAGATGAGCCATTTCTCCCGTTCTCTCTCCGGTTTCTAGAAGTTTTGTATCTTTGAACGTGTACCTTTCTTCTTGAGTACGTGGAGTATATGTATTTAAAATGGTACACTAGGAAAGGTACCTTAGGAAATTGAGTCTTCCAACATTTAAAACTGTCTCAGTTGATCAAGTTGCAGAGATACTCTTCCCATTCTCGCAGCATCGGGAGGGCGCGGATGGGATAAAGGTGAGGAGGATTTTGGTGTCACAATGTAGAGGATAATACAGCAACGGTTCGCTTCCCACTTGGGAACAAGACTCTGAGACCCCTTTTACCTGTAAGGAGAAAAGGAGAGCTGAAATCTGTGCAGAGCTGAAATCTTCTGCCTGCCTCAGCAGGGAAGGCTGCAAACTCAGGGAAGGAGCTAAATCCAGGGAGAAGGTGTAGGGACCTGTTCTAGGCTACTGACGGAAGCCGTGGAAGTCGGCACCAAACACAATTAAACGAGTAATAGAAGATGAAATGAAGACAGTGCATCCACACCTGGTGTTACACAATTTACTGTTTTTCCTGCTATGCAAACAGTGTGCTGGTGTCTGCCTTGCATTCATCACAGAGAGACACTGGTTTAACTTCTTATGGGAAACTTACTTGCTGTAAAATTACTCTGTTTCATTCTGTTTCCTAATTTACAATGCAATTAATAATTTGTAGAGTGGAGAAATATGATGAGCTATTGTAAAGTAGAGTGGACTATATGCCCTCCATTTACTGTATACCCTCCGTTTATTCCCCTGACATTAGACCAAAGAAGAAAGAGAAAAATCAGAAAAACTCATATTTTTGCAGAAGGGAGGTACTACATTCCTTGAATTGCAGGTAAAAACAAATAATACCTTCTTGAAATGCAGTCCGATAGGCTGGCAATGATTTCTTATTTTATTATCTTTTTTCCTTTCCAAGCCACTTTTTTTTTATTTATTTATTTCATAAGTTCAGGAGGGAGATGTAATCTGGGGGACAAATTCTGAGGAATGAGTACCCTCCAGAGCTTATGCCTTCCTAATAGAGGCTGATTTCTCTGCTAGTTAGAGATCTACGCGCACGGTGCTATTTGTGGATGTCGTTTGCAGTTGTGCATGCATTTCCAGCATAAGCCTCACTGAGAACATTATGGTGAATGGGGCACTTCTGTCATTAGAATGAATTTCCTTTATACTGTCAAGTGAATTCAGATTATGCTGAGTGATGGTGAACTTTGTATTCTTATTGGTTTTTCTATTAGCCAAGTGTGATAGAGAAGAAGCTGCAGGAAGGAGAGTCTGCTGGCACTTTGGTTACTTCTCATCAAATCATTATCCAGAAAAGTATCCCATCATCCCTGGAGGTTGTTTTTAATTCATTCGATTTTAAACTAACACATTTGCTTGGTTAAATACAGAAGTTATGGTCTTAAGGTCAAATGGCTGGTTGCTGATTGCACAGCCAAAGCAAATCACATAGCATATTTGCATAAAGAGGAAAAAAGATGCTGCCTTAAGTTCAGTTCAGTATCTCTAATAGTGTGGCGTTTACTGTGTTGTACTGCTCAATTTAAACAAAGCTGAAGGGGGTTGATGTTATTCTAATGAAAACAAGGAAATTAAGTGCAGGCTACAGCTACACACAAACGCATACTATTCTCAGACCTCATCAGCAGTCTGTTTGTCACAACTGGGGATCCGTTGAATGAGCTTATTTGCTGTATTTTTGCAATTTGTTTTTTGACTGTAGCATTATGAACCATTGCGATACATGATTTTTAACCTCAGGATGACTGCAGCCATCATTTTAAACGATGCACTAAAACGCTGCCCTGCTTCAAATTGCTACAGAAGTAGTGTGGCAAAAGTAACTTTTTGTGTCCACATGACATGGGTGTTTAAGGGGAGGGACTCTACGAAGGAATCATACTTTGCCGAAGGTGGTATTTATTTGTTTGATAACTGCTCTAAGAGGTACAGTGGTAAAAGTTATTCTATGCTTTCAGAAGAGGCAGCATTGATTTCTTAAAAGTCTTCATACTTTAGTGCTCCTGAAGTAGAGATAAACCTTCAGACATTCTAATTTAGCTTTTATATCTCAAATATAGGGCACTGAGGATTGGGTTATTATAGACAAAATACCCTCTGAGGTAGTTGATGGTGAATCGAAAAAAACACTGGCATACAAAGTAGTGACTGTGAGCAGTAAAACTGCCTTTCCACCTGAGATATTACAATCCAGTACCGTTCTAATGCAGAGCTTTGAGGACTTGGAAAGTGAAATACAATCCAAAGAGGAGAATAAGCAGAAAATGTTCACCCTAGGAAAGTCCTATGATACCTTATCTGGGAAAATTGTAACCATGACAAGTAAAGCTAAAGAGGGCGAGAAAGCAGTACAGCCTTCCATAGAAGCTTTGCAAAAAATGGAAAGGGAAGTGCAAGAATCTGTGAAAATCATTCCAGTAGTGGCCGAGTATGAAATCCTCGAGCCTGTCACTGATGAGAAAGCCAGGCGGGGATCCGACGTGCAGAGCACAAAAAGAAAGCTGTCCGACTCTCTGACACCCATAAAGGAAGCAGAATCTCAGTTGCAAAGCCCTGAAGAGGAGAGTTTGAAAAAGACACTAAAGATGGACCAGGATTTGCAGTTACATGGTACACTGGGAAGCTTGCAGCTTGGCAAAGCAGAAAAACACCTTGGCAGTGAAGCTGTAAAAGCAAGGGCATTTGCCCGGAGAGATAAGAGCCTGTCTGAGTGGAGATATTCCAGAGAACAGCCATTTACCATTGCTACTGCTCACTATGTTACCGAGTCGTCTGCGTCAAAAGTAGTGGTAACAAGTGGCTTTGACTTCATGCCACGGTTTAAAGATTAAAGCATGACTTCTTTTAGGCAACCCCCTCACACCGCCCTACCTTTCGGTTCTCTTGCTGCCTGGCTTTATGTTGACAGCAGCCAACCCAGCTTATTTTTTTTCCCCCTTATACTTTGAATCCGTCCCACAGTCTGAAGCAGATATTATATAAGGCTTTCAACCTTTCTGGTTTATTTAAAGATCCATGTTACTGAAATGTAGTATTGCTGCTGTGGCTTATTAATAAAAGGAAAACAAAGGTTTGCTTGAACCAGCAAAATGCCCACGCTAACAACTATGCTTCGTAACTATTGCTTACTACAGCCATTATGAATTTGCTCTGATTTATTTTCCCATTCTTTTCCTGTTTCCAACCTCTCCGTGCCCCCGCAACCTTCTCTCCCTTCCCTCTGTCTCTGGCTCTGGTTTTGGCAATTAATTTCTCTGTGCGTGTGGATCTGCCTTTCTTCTGTGTATGACTCTGCATTTCTCTGTCTGTTTAGACTAAACAGTCCACCGGTGAAAAAACCTTGGATGGTTCAGATATCTTCAGTCTAATAGAGTCTGCCAGAAAACCGACTGAGTTCATAGGAGGGGTTACTTCTACTTCACATAGCTGGGCGCAGGTGGCCGTTCGATTCCCTCCATCAGCGTTGTAACCGCACACCAATTACTTTTGCTTTTCTTTTGTTTCCTGTTTTTATGCATAAGGTGGAACCTATATAGCTAACGCATGCATTGGAGTGCCTTTTCCTTTGTTACAATAGACTACAATAGAAACTTCACTGAAAAGAAAGACAACAAAAAACCTTTTTTTTTTCTCATTTCACTTTATTTTGGTCATTTTGTAGGGTGCTGTATTTTGCCTTTATAAAACTCACGCGAAAATACCAATGAGAAAAACACTGTGGCATTTCTCTTCTGTTCTAAAAATTGTGATTCTTGCTTTGTTTTTCATTTCTTCTATTCTGATAGTGTCCTGAGAGCAAAAATCCATGCAACGTGAGAGAAATAAATTGGCAAAATATAATACCCTTTTTTTTTTTTAATTTACGTTCACAGTACATTAAGCTGAGGAGCTATTGCAAGTAGTTTTGTCTGCTTCTGACGCTGAGGGTTTTCTGTCTCCTTCCCTGCAGAGAATAGACACGACGACATCTCAGGAGATGACTTCCAGTGAAACGAAGCAAGCCGTTCAGCCGCAGCAGGATACGGTGAAGAAGGTTGTACAGGAGACCGTAGTTATCGAGGAGAGACATGGGATGAGTGCGCTTGCGAGCAGGGATCCTGCTAAAGCAGCCGGACTTGTGCTGGATGCCCAGGCTGAGGCCGCGTCGGTGGTGGCGGCCGGCCTGAAGGGGAAGGAGGGCTCTGCAGGGACTGAGGGGGCGAAGGAGGACAAAAAGGAGGAGGCTGGGAAAGCCCTCCGCGGGCAGGAAGGAGTCGCCGCGGCTGCTTCCTGTGAGCGGGCGGAGGAGCACAGTACAACAGTCCACCGTGCAGAGTCTTTGGAAAGAAAACCTCATTTTGAGGTAACTCGTCGTTAAATTGGTCATGTCCATCCTCCGGGCTTGTATGATTGCATGTCTACAGCAGTCAGTTTGTGCTCTTGTTTCTCCTTGCGTGGCATCTGCAAGGCTTGTTGCTGGTCTCCAGTACTGGCAAAATGCCATGCTTATTTTCCCTAAAAGCACTTTCCACGCTACAGAGAAATACCTGTTTTGGTGGCTTTTTTATGCAACAGATAGCAAGAATTCAGCTGGCATTCTCTTTGGGAAAGTCCATCAAGATTGGCAAAGGACACGTGTCCTCAAAGACAGAAAATGCATTTTTTTTCCATGCTTGGTACAATTGTAAATAACTGTACTGTGCCTTAAACAACCCAGGTTCCTTATCTTACCCCATTTTCAAGAGAGATTAAAAAGCCCTTGTTCTTGCTCTTTTTTTCTGAGAGCTGAATGGAAGCCTATGCCTGAGTAGGATTCGTTCTCTTGTCACTTACGAAAATGTATAATCCCAGAATGGCTGAGACTGGAAGGAACCTCTGGAGGTCTAGTCCAGCCCCCCTGCTCAAGCAGAGTCACGCAGAGCCAGTTGCCCAGGGCCATGCCCAGACAGCTTTTGAAAATCTCCAAAGGTGGAGACTCCACAACCGCCCTGGGCAACCTGTGCCAGCACTCGATCGTCCTCACAGTGAAAAAGTGTTTCCTGATGTTCAGAGGGAACCTCCTGTGTTTCAGTTTGTGCCCATTACCTCTTGTAGTGTTTACATCTTTTCTGAAGTTTGTTTTCATGAAATCTAGGATAGTGCTAAGTGTTGCCAGCATTATATTATAATAAAGAGAATTTTCTCTTTTCCTTTTTAATGCAGAGCACTTTTTTTCAGTTGTTCCCCTCCTTTTCCCAAGTAAAAAAAAGTATTATGAGAAATCCACAGAAGCTTTACTAAATGTTCCACATTCCCTTCTTTTTTTGTTCATGTAGTCACCAGTTGTGAAGACTGAGACTATCAGTTTCAGTAGTGTTTCTGCTGGTGGGGAAAACCTTGAAATTTCAACAAAGGAAGTGCCAGTAGTCCATACAGAAACAAAAACCATTACGTATGAGTCTTCTCAGGTAAGAAATTCTGTAAAAAACAAGGTCTAATTTAACATGGCCTTAGGGAACCCATGTTTCTTCACCCATCTTTAAGTGTATGCCTTAGTGTAAACTGTTCTAAGCTGTTCAAGGATTAAATATTAGCATGAGGAAGATGTACGTAGGTATAGCTTACCTGAGGGTGTCTCTCATTTCCTGGTGTAGGGCTTTTTGAGACCATTGATGAAACTACAGATCTCAGAGCCCCAGCTTCTCCTCTGTCCTTCCAGAACCTAAGGAGAGTCTCCAGATGCAGAGAGAAATACTGACACATGATCACCCTCATTAATAGCAGTTGTTTCCCTACCATTAGATACTCACTTTATTAAGAATGCTAGAAATAGGGAAGGTCAGCCAGCCCAGTTTTTGCCTCCCTGTGCTCAGAAGCATGTTTTTGGTGACTGGTTTTCTCCTTTGGTTCCCTAGGTGGATTGCAGTGCTGACTCAGAACCAGGTGTATTGATGAGTGCACAAACTATCACATCTGAAACTACCAGCACTACAACCACTACACATATCACCAAAGTGAGTCCTCAGAAAACAGGGAGGTTTTTTTCACAAGGGTATATGTTTTCTTAACTTCAATTCTATTACTTATTTTAAAACGTGGACACACGCTTATATTCTCTGGACAAAATCCTGTCTATTTTGGGTACCTGTCTTCATTCACCTATCGCTGGGTTTACTGGCTTCATTAATGTATTATCCAAGGACTTGATAAGAGTTCTGAAAGTCATAAAGCCTTAGGGTGTGTTCACACAAGCACACAATGTTGCTGTGCAGAGACACTTGAGTTAGCTGCAAATACTCTCTGGAACTGGAAGCAGTGTAGCCACAGTGGTATCGTATCGTAGCCAGGAAAGAATAATTTGTCTGGGCATGAGGCTTGTCATGGTTTAGCCCCAGCCAGCAACTAAGCACCGTGCAGCCATTCGCTCACTCCCCCTCCCCCAGTGGGACGGGGGAGAGAATTGGGAAAAAACTTGTGGGTTGAGATAAAAAGAGTTTAATAGGACAGCAAGAGAGAAGGAAACAACAATGATAACAACAATAATAATACCGACAAAGGAAGGTAGAAGAACAAGTGATTCCCAGTACAGCAATTGCTCACCACCCCATGATCGACAGCCCGTCCTCAAGCAGCGATTCTCGCCCCCGGCCAACTCCAGTTTATGTACTGGGCATGACGTCATATGGTATGGAATACCCCTGTGGCCAGCCTGGGTCAGCTGTCCTGGCTGTGCCCCCTCCCAGCTTCCTGTGCACCCCCAGCCTTCTTGCTAGCAGGCCAGCACGAGAAGCTGGACTGTCCTTGACTGCTCAGCAACAACCCAAAACATCAGCACGTTATCAACAGTTTCTCATCCCAGATCCAAAACACAGCCTCACACTGGCTTCTGTGAAGAAAACCAACTCTATTGTGGCTGAAACCAGGACAGGCTCCATTGGCATGACTATACTGCCTTTGAGTCCTGAGCTGTTATGCCTGCACGGTGTTGAAAACACATAGTAAAGCTGTATCACATAGTCATAACAGGACATTCGGGCAGCTCAGACACTGCAGTCGCATTGCTGGGTGGCACCCTAAGGAACTTGCCCACAGCCAGACAGAAAGCTTATGGCTGCACAGGCAAATGATGTTGGGTCTCCCTAGTTCCAAGATACCATCTCAATTACAGTTCTTCCCTAAGCAGAAACTCTCTTAGTGCCGTGATAGCTCTCCTACCAATACTCACTGAGGACAGGACTTCATCTTTCTTGCAGTGAAATTCACCCTTTAGTAGATGAGCTATACAAAGGCCATACCCCCCTGTATATTCTTCTGAAGCCTGCAGTTGGACTTAATTAGGTCTTAATATGAGCTGTCTCTATGTCCATTCTTTTCTTCGTGGGATAAATTTATCATAAATACCTGCCATTTTTGACATACAAACATCTCTCTTGATATGTGTGCAGATTGATTAGAATCAAAAAATAAGTTGTGTTGGAAGGACATCTGGAGGTCATCTAGTCCATTCCGAGCAGGCCAGCTTCTGAGCTGCTCTGGCTGCAGGTCAGGGTTGTCCCCTCTGAACTACCTCTGTTTGAGGTAGTTCAGTCATGTCTGGGTTCCTGCACTGATCACTGTCTGGATGAGTAGCAGCACTCTTTAAGGTAAGTTACTGACATGCATTTATCCCTCTCATCTAGACTGTGAAAGGAGGCATCTCAGAGACGAGAATTGAAAAACGAATAGTCATCACAGGAGATGCAGATATTGATCATGATCAGGTAAAATCTATAAGCTGCTAAAGGCTACTCTAATACTGCCAAAGAGAACATTTCTAAACATTGCTTTAAAAGATGCTGTTCATACTGGCATGCCTTAAATGAAACTGAATTAGTAGTTAAATCAGTGATGGTATATTTCATATTTTAATCATTTTCCTCATTTGTAAATTGTGTAATATCTCATGAATCTCTCCACCTTGCTACTGATCATGCATGTTCCACCTCCTTTTTGTTTTTGCCCTTCTGTGGTTTCCTTGGGATAGGCGCTGGCTCAGGCAATTAAAGAAGCCAAAGAGCAGCACCCTGACATGTCAGTGACCAAAGTAGTGGTACATAAAGAGACAGAAATCACACCAGAAGATGGGGAGGATTGACCACAGGTAAGAGGACTAGATGATTTTCCTAGGCATTTACTGGGCTGGCATGTTGCAAAGGTTGTTTTCCTACCATAATTCACCTCTGACTCTTTGCTTTCTCTCACTGGCATTTGAAAGTTGCATTTGTGCTGGTTATCAGTTCTGGTATTTGAATGTAAACCACATTCAGCTCTAAACGTCTGTCTTCATTTAAAGGTGCCAGCTGGAGAAAGAGAAACTATTCATTTGCTTTTGTTGGCTCTCTGGAAAGTCCTCATTGTCCATGCTTTGATATAGTCTAAATTTCTAATTCTGAAGTAAAAGAAATCTGTTGTCTGCTTTTATGTCATTTAAGAACAAAAATAATTTGTTCTTAAAGGTATGCATTTTTTGTTTAAAAATGCCGAGGGAAAAACCTACAGCTGCTTTTTAAATGTTGTGTTACAAGTTAAGCTTTAATTCCTAACTTGCAAAGATATGGTCCAACTTGCTTTTGATTTTTCTTTTAAACCCAATGAATTAGTGTGTTGGTATTTGGATGTCTTGGCTTTCTTGTATTTGAAAGAACATTTTATGTTTTAAAGCAGCATTGTTTATCAGGATGAGATGATAATGCAGCTTTTCTCATATCAAGCTTTTTTTCAGTAAAGGCATGCTCTCCAATTGTGGCTGGCTAAACAGACATCTTAATATTATTATATTTATTCTGTGTTCAAAAACGTCATGCGTACTAACCTGATATGCAAAAGCCTTTAATGCCAGCACCATTGCACAAATTGCCTTGAATGCTGTATGCAGAAGGAAAAAAAAGCTGCTTGTCTGATTTGTTTAAATCGATAGCAGCGTTTTATTCTTAAAACAATATATATTCCCTAACACTTGGTGTAAGTAACAGAGTATGATGCACAGCACTTTTCAAAGCTGTTTTGCTCTCCTGCTTTTGGATATAGAGGCGTTAAAGAAAACTGAATTTCAGTATCTGTTATTTATTTGGAAGATGGAACCAGTCACTGAGGAGTGAGTAGCTGTGATTCTTGTGGTATTCTGCTAAGTGTTTCAGAGAGACGTAATGTGGCTTGCTTAAAAGTCTGTTGATGTCCCTGATTCTTTCCATTGGTGTGAGTGGACTTTGGATTGGGGCCAAGTTGCTTATACCGGGATGATGCCATTTTCAAATAGCTTTTGTTACATGAACAAGTTGGCAAAATCTCTTTTGCAAGAGAGTAGTTGCTTCAAATAATCAACTCTGTTCTTTTTCCTGCAGGAATAACCTAAATTGCATACGAATCCAGACATGCACACCAGTAGGAATACGAGAGCCTATACGGAGTCTCAGTTCCAACCTGACTGACTTGTATCTGTCTATGGAAAATTTCAGTACAGAAGAATTGATCTTGACCGTTAATAAAGAAACTGGCAGAGATACCTTCCCATAGAAAGCAATCTGAATCAGCAGCAGTTAAACAATATTGCATGAAGCAACGATAAAATTACAGAAAAGCAGCATTTTTAATTTTCTTAAAATGTCTAAGTTTTCAGCTATACCTGCACGTTCATAAACAATATAAACAGTGATCTCATGTAACACATAAACAGTTCATGCCTTTCCAAGTTTATGAGAGTCTAAACAAATTAAAATTTGTTAGGTGGCAAGCCTTTTGTTTACAGATATTGTAAATGAAGATTACCCCCCAAATGCTAGAGGCTGTATAGGTACCGTGTATAATGTTTTACCACACATTAGATGTGCCAATAACACAGTTTATTCAGTAAACAACTTGAATCTTCTATTTGTTTCATCTGGTTTTATTACTGCCCGATAAACAATGACAAATCTTTACTCTTACCAAAATATTTAAATGCTTACAAAGTGTGCTTTGTATACCTGACTGAATACCTTATGAGGTAGTAATGATTTTAGTATATTAACTTTAACGATTTTCGTCAGCTTTGTTGAGAGTCAGCTTCCAGTCACCCTTCACAGATCCTAACCTTGTAAATTATATGTAGTTATTTTGGAGAGAAAAAAAAAATCTGTATTTTACTTAGTTTGCAGCATTAGAAAATTACTAATCTGAAATAACCGTGATGGTTTTCTATTGATTTCCCTTTTGTTCTCAGAGGAAAAAAAGAAAAAAAAAATCTGTTTGAGAATCTGGTCAGCATTTACTATCTAGTTCAGAGTCAAGCCTTAACCTGTACAGAATGTCCACTGAAAACTCGTTAGTGTCCAGCTATGATACCCACTGAAGGGATAGCATCCATTACACTGTCAGCTGCATCACAACATATGGTGAATGTATGTTTCTGCATAGTGAAATAAAAGTGGTAAATGCATCCAAAATTGTATTGTTCTGTGTCTAAAAGCACTCAGTGTTTTTTAATATTCAAATCATTAAGTTACGTTTGTAAGACACCACAGGTTTCACTCATCTGCACAGTAGAGACGTTTTGTCTTTAGCGGCTGACACTGCACTGTGCAGACAGTTGGAGTTAGCGGAGCATCGAAGGGATGACAGTGTTCACGTTTGGGCAAATGATGTTTGCAAAGGAAAAGGAGTATTTGGTTCCTTCTGTTTTCTCTGGTTGTGTACTGTTTCACTGAAGCTAAATGAAGGGTTTTGTGGTTGCTTAGAAAGTAAAGGCCAGTAGCCCTTGATCCAGATCCACTGTCTTTTTGTACTCTTGCTCTGAAACATGGATAAAATTCTCTTTAAAGCAGTACTTACTTAACCTGTTCCTTTTTCTTGCTCCTTTGCCACATCTCGTTGATGCTTCCCTGGTCCTTCAAGAAAAATTTGTAACAATTAATTCACCCTTCAGTCTGTATTTCCGTGCAGGATTGAAAGAAATGGGTACAAGCAGACTTTTCAGGACATAAAGGGCCAAATTTGCCCAACGTTGTTTACACGGGGCTCCCTCACATTGAAGTCAATGGATTTGGCTTCAGTGGAGAGCAGGATTTGACCCAGTGACTTGTTAATAAATGTTTATTTTCTTAATTTAGAACGAAAAATAGTATATATAGAGAGAATAACCTGTAGATAATAATGAAAAGTAATATCCCAAGGCTTCTAAAGCTTTACCATTAGTCTCTAAAATGTCTTCCTTCCACCAGCCATTCGTCATGCCTTTAATCCAGAGTGCTAACGATGTAACTCCCCCTACCACCATCATTGCTTACCTCTTGCCTAATGACCAGCGCAAAGATTACGGTCTGTGTGATCTTTGATTGACCTCTCCTCCTCCTGCTCCAAGAGCATCTGTGTTCTCGGCCCTCTCGGTGACGGTGGGCTCAGCTCCCTGGTGCTGCCAGCACCCGGCGGCAGCCAGGGCTGGAGGAGGTGCTCACCCTGTGTCTCGGCAGACGGCATGCCAGGTTCTCGCTACTGCATCAGGAGTTTAAAAGTAGACTCTGAAGCCATATTGATGTTCCCTCAGGTGCCCCTCATGTTGTCAGCTAAGAAACAGCATCGTATTACCTCAGAGAGACGCGAGGCGATTGCACAGCCTTCTCTCCAGAGTTAGCGTTATATTTTAGCATGGCTTGAGGAGATTGTACTTTGGTGATACTGCACAGTATGTACGCTGTCTAAAGACAATTGTCTCCTAAGATGTTAGTCTTCTTGGAAAGGACACTCGCAGCCAAGATACGGCCTAAGCGTATGCAAACTATGAGGAGATGAAAGTGGGCAGGCAAGGACGTCTCAGTGCCACTGTTGGCAGTAGACCCTTGTTTGGGGGATGGTTCCTGGAAGTGATAGCTTTGGTTTTTGTTAGAAACTGTTTCTTGGGTTGTCTGCCTAATGCTGTGCCACATAAAATAAAGAACACCTGCCTGTTTCTACCAACCGTCTTTTGTCTCCGTCTCTTCTCATTTATTGGTCTTTGTTCGGCTTCTGGACGTAAAACAGCTCAGAAAAAAAACCATCAAATATTGTGTTACTTGAGAGCACCGTTACCAACACAGACACCAGCACAGGAGACAGCCTCACTTGTTACAGCTGGAGTCACGGCTTAGCCCCCTGAGAGCTGCCTGCTCTGCGCCATTGGGGTAAGGGACCAGGATGGCCAAGCAGGGCTTTGCATACCAGGCAAGAATGGGCATAGCAAGCAATCACAGCAATTGTGATCATTACAGATGCAGAAAGAGTGAATGCGTTGCCTTGGCATTTTTAAGGCTCTTTGGAATCACAACATTTATCCCTCTGAAGTTTTTTAAGGGTGTCCCAACACAAATGGCAAGTAACGGTGTTCTGTGCTCAAGCATATAAAAAAAATACTCATGAGCCTCTAAATCCAGTTACTAGATCAAAGCAAGGGTTTAACAGCTTAGTCTTACTTCTTCTCAGAGCAGATTTAGGCAGCTGGTGAGGTGATGTGGATCACCTGTACAACAATTTGTATCCACTGAAATTAGAGTTCCTTATAAATAGTTCTTCACGGCAGATAAATTGGACATTGAATCCAGGCCTCAGTTTGGCAAACCTTGCTGCAGATTTCTCGCCTTAACCCAGAATAGCCCTGTCAGTTAAGATCAGAAGGCCCATTTACAAGCTTCACCTTTACGTCTTCCCGCTTCAGAGGTAATAAGGGTAAGGTAAGGAAATGTGTTCCCCTTTTTTATACAGGAGCAATAATAGTCCAGGTTCTGCAGAGTTAGGAATCGAACCTTAATTTTTAATCATTTTTCCTAGTCTAGTCATGTGCCTGGGGCAATGCTGAGATATGTTGCATGATTTTTTTTTAATGTTCGTTGAACACACGAGCAGAACATGCTATATACTCTTAACTGTTGCCCAAACAAAATCCTGTTCAGTCAACCACATGTTCGATCAAACTGGCTGGCATCATTTTTATATTGTTAGTTACCATGCAGTGAGAGACCCTACACAAAAAACTGGCTCAAATGAAGAAAGTTCAAACTAACACCAAAGGAAACTCCATTTTCATTTGACTTCAGCTATTACAAAGCACTAAGAAAAAAAGTGGTGTTTTTCAAGGTACATATGTCCCAAACTACAGTTTGCTGTTTTGAACTCTGCTCTTCTATATTGCTAACTTTAAGGAAAATCCTTAATTGGGTAATTTCCCATTCCCAAGTCTTAGATCCCCTTTCTTGTGAAGTACATAAAAGTAACACTTGGCTAATGAGAGGAGATGAGATAAGAAACAGATCCTCTTCTTTCCCTTCCCCTTCATTACGTAAAGAAGCAGGTACTTGTTTTCAAGTGTTTTCTGTTGGTACTGAGCCTCCTTCAGTTGACTCTACTGATCTAATCTCTTGAGATGCCTTTGCAATTTCTTTTGCTCATGAGACTCACCATCTCTAGTTACAGAATTCCAATGTAGATATTTTCTATGGCTCTGTGCTAATGAAATGACACCAGACAAACTCTCCATCAAGTGGAGTAAGACCAAAGTCTCCTCAAACAGGATCTGGCTGGATGAACATGAAGAAATGCTTTCTATGACAAGAGGAGCTGAACTGGACCTCCTGAAGTCCTGTATAGGTCCCGAGGTATAGTGGTGGTTTGAGGTACTATGGATGGACTATGAGATTACTGTGGATGGGCTAATGGATGACTATGAGAAATGCTTACTGCATTGCACATGTAAAGAAAGCAGAAATGAAGCAGTTTTCTTAAATCTACAGATTCCAAAGGCTGTATCAGTCTTACACTGCAAATGACGGTTTGCTGTGTCTTTTGTCATTAGTGTTATGCCACATCAGCAAAGAGGTTGTCTGTGGTTGCTCTGGGTTCCCTCAGAGCAACACAAAATACCAGCTTTCCTAATAAAAACTTGATCATACACTTAAAAAAACCTGTTATTAGTTATGCACCTTTTAGTTCTGTCTCAAATAGGGATTTAGGTTTAAATAAACAACATATTGCTGGTACTTTTTATATAAAAATATTTTCCACGTATTCCTGTATTCATTAACTGAAACGAGGTTATTCTGTTATCTTGGAAGTACTGTTAGCCCTTGTTCATACTGTAAATTACTCTGGTTTATGCTATTTGGTTCCTCCTCCACCCTTTTTTTTTTTCTGTCTCCCATTTGACATCAGTCCTGCCTCTCAGCTAGAACTAATGGCTGCTGTAAAGACTGTTGGGAGCAGAAATTCAAAAATCCTTTTTTAAAGGAAAACCAATATGCTCACATTATGCAAAAATCTCAGTCAACTCTCTTCCTTCATCTCATGCTCCCAAATGCAGCTATGACCTCCATAAATCAGTGACCTCACTCTTGCAGCTGAAATGACCATCACTGACTGTAAGTAGGATTAATAGCCTGTCTTTGAGAATGACTACAGTGACATAGAGGGGAAAAGAAAAAAGAAGAGAAGAAAATGAACACTGACACTAGAAATTATTTTCATTTTTAAACACATTAGACTTTTATCTGTACAGTCTACTGGCTCTGTTTTCTCCAGTGCAGATCTTAAATAAGAACTTTTTATTCTTGTTTCTTTTTGTCCAGAGTTTACTAGGAATTTCTTTTTAATTTTCTGGAAGTATCTCTGCTGGATGTTTCTGTGGTGAGATATACCAGGACTCTTAACTTCTGCGCACAACCAAAGCTCAGGCAATGATGTCAACTAATCTGAACTGCAAAATGAAGATCCCGGAACATGTGGAGCTTTGGAGCTGCCTTGAATTGCAACCCAGAGCGGCATGTTTCTGCACAAGTCCTGCTTTACAGTGCGCATGTTGCTTTTAAGTATTGGGCATGTGTTCTTTGGTCGATAATCCTGGGTGACTATAGCATAAAAGGTACAGGATTAGACAAAATGCATTAAAGGACTCAGGGAAGGGCGAATCATAAAACATACAACAGAGCAAAGAAAAAAAAAAAACCAAAAGCAATGTATCTGAAAGTACAAAAGCAAATCATAGAGAAACTGCTTAAAAGTCTCTTCCAGTAGGAATAGTCCAGCTAATATGATTAGCTTTCCTTAAATCAAGAGCGCTACTAGCACAGATGTCCTTCCTCGATGGATTTACGAGGTTGTTTCTCAGACATACTGGTTTTCTGGGCAAACTCAGTTGATGGATTTGGCATATGAAGGCTTCTAAAGGCATTTATACTCCTTTGGTCCAGTCTCCAATCCATATACAACTTAG